TAACAGGTGGAGCGATGCATTTCCAATATGTGTGCCAAGTTGCCCAATTGCTACTTGTCCGGATAATTGAAACTACACTTAGGTACCTCCCGGAAACGATTGAGGACAGATAAGCAGAGACGTTTGTAGCCAAATATTTTCTATATGAAAATCCACTCTTTGTGCTTATTATTTCATTTTCCATTTCTGACAAACAGCTTATCGTGCAAATCAAATTCTTAGACAAGCTGAGTCTTGAAGGTACATGTTTTTTGCATCCTTTTGAAGGCACGGTCTTATTTTACTCTGCCATTTTCTTTGCAGTAGTTTTTTTCTTCAGAAATGTGCTATGCGAAAAACAAATCTGTATCAAATATGTGAAATAATTTAGTTTTGAAAATTTCATGGCACTCTCTAGATGATTGGCAATATGTGTGATGTCAGAAAATCATAGTTGGGAGCAATGCTTCCCCTCGGGGTGTTGATGGCACGTTACTTCTGCCTAGAATATGCTCCCTGGTGCCTGAGCTGTGCTGTGAGAGATGGCTGTGGAATACACTGGTAGAAGAAAAAAACAGTTAAGAATGTCGCTGGACTTCTTTTTTAATATGTTGACTCCTTGATTTTTGTGTGTGTGTACCGTGGCATGCTGTTGTAAGTAAGTCATTATTTCATTTCTGATATTCTCTTCATGAGTCATAGTGGGGGAAGAAGTCTTCAGTTTTGAGTACTTCTAACTTTTCAGCTCATTCTCCTTTGAGGTTGCCATGTTGCATATACGCTGACGCATCCTTCATACTGTATCCGAGACGCATTCAGATAGGTTTTGTATGTTGTATCCTTTTGCCGTTTTCTTTAAAACCAGGTTTATCCTTTTTAGTGATTGTACAATCATGTTATTACTAAGAATTCAAATGATAATGAGCTGATGGCATAGTAGGGGGATGCAGGAGGACATCTAGGCTGTAGAATGACCAGGAATAATAGGCATCGATGAGTCAACTCGGATTATGGCTATCAAATATTTCCTGCCTTTATAGCTCATAACAGGGAGTTTTTTTTTTTTTTAAAAGTGTTTGTATACATTGACTTGATAGCTGCAAATTCCTGGAAATTACTATTTATAGGCAAATGGTCAGTTATATATTGCCGCTATTTTATTTTTCTCTTCAGGTTGGTAAAATAAATGGTGGGCTTAAAGCAGAGGCTTTCTCCTTACCTTATCTTCTCCCCTCGCCCTTCCGTCCACGTGTGCTTCCTGATTTTCTCATCTTTCTTCTGCCTTCTGTCCTTTCTGCTTATGCTTATCATGATATCTTGTAGTTTGATTTGATGGCTTTTTCCTTTTTTTTTTTTTTTTTTTTTTTTTTTTTTTTTTTTTTTTTTTTTTGCTTAGCTTGAGAGACTCTAGTACTTCTCTTATTTGGGAAAAAATTGAAGAACCATCCATAGATTGTCATGAATTTGAGGAATTGTTTTCTAAAACTGCTGTAAAAGAAAGGAAGAAACCCATTTCTGACACCATCACAAAGACCAAGGCCAAACAAGTGAGTACTTGTGTTTTTTCTAAAATTAAACAGTGAAAAAGTTTTAGTGTGAATTTTCATTGGGGTGGGGGGAAAAAACTTTGAAATTATTTTCTAGACGGAAACTTCCGCAGCCCTTAAACATACAGCAAATATTAGAATTTCAGAACAGTTGTTTCAGTGAGTCTACCCCAGACAGAACAATCGTCTCTACATGTTAATGTCCTATTTTATGTGTACCACCGTGGTACATATTAATCAAATTTTAGCAACTGCTTTTTTGCAGAATTTAAGATGTATGGATGGAAATAAATAGCAAGTGGGCAAAGAAAAAGTAGTGAGCAAGCACCTAGTGGCTAGTAACCGATGATGTGTTTGGCATTTTGTTGTTTTCTAACTAAACTGGGAGCTTTTTAGAAACTAAACAGTCCCTGTCCTTGCTGTAGGGGAGGAAGGCTCATCTTTAGTTCTTGCATATCCATTCAGCGTCAGATCCTTTGACCTAGTCTGTGAATCATAAGAAGTGCATTTGGAGAAAATAATTTCCAAGCAATATTTTTAAAATGATGTACCCAAGGGTCTTAATCCGGAAATGGTGTTGTCATAAACCTCAGTAGGGTATCACATTCAAGAAAATATAGTAAAACCCTAGAATAGTGAGCCCCAGTGAAAGGTTTTACTGTTGAAACTGATCTTTCTCCCTGAAACTGGGAAGAGACTACGTTTGTTACGTTTTGCGGGAAGGGAAAAGCACGTGTAAGAGAGTTCTGTGAAGCACAGTCTTGAACAGAGAGAAGGGGGACCCCAAATCTCTAGGTCTATCCTGACCCAGTCTCCCTAGATGAGTGGTGACCAATGGATGATCCTTTGAATTTTTTCTCTGCCCCGGAAGGTAACTAGATGTGTTCCCGAATTCCTTATTCCAGAGCAAAGATCTCCCACCAGACCGCGCTGCCAAGAGCAGTCTGGACCCTCTAGCTGAGTCTCACCACAAATGTTTCTGTTACTCTGCGGTGCTTTAAGCCCTAACAGAATGTAGTTGAATGTTTCAGAACCCGATGTTGTGTTTTTTTTTTTAAGATTTATTTGTGCATACAGAACTGGGGTACAGGCCAGAGGCTCAGGGGCAGCGAGAGGCTTCACCAGAGACAGAGCGGGAAGAAGTACACTGCTGAGGGGAGCAGCGGGCGGGTCAGGAGAGGTCTGCCGCGCCCTGTGGCCACCTCCGGGGCAGGCGGGGATTGAACTCATGCGGAAGCAGCTTTAGATTCTCAGTGCTGCGCTTTAACCCGCTGCGCCACCAGGGAGGGCACCGATGTTGTGTTTTAACTGGCCTCTGGTGACGTAAGTTCATTGGCTATGAAAAATTGGTCATATGATAGGCACTGAGTAAATATTTATTTGGAAAACAGGCTGACTGAGGAGGACTTTACAAACATCAGCTACTATGCCCATTGATGATTAAAAACCCAAAATTATTCGCCTCACGGTAATCAGCACAGTGAAGGTAGCAGTGTGTAATGATAAATAGAAAATCGATTTTCTCTGATAGAGGTAAATAATAAAATTATCATTGTAAATGTATTTGCACATCACAAACTTAGACTGAGCCTCCCTACCTGTTCTCATGGAGGAATCAGATGTGGGAGCGCTGTCTGGGCAGCGACTGTGAGCGGAACGTGCAGTCAGCAAGGAGAAGGTGGCCATCAGGTAGCTGCTTGACAAGAGGGCGGACGTGGCTCATCTGATACATATGTGCCTCGTGTCCACCGCTGAGGTTCTCAGAAAGCAGACCAGCCCTCCCCACCTCCCATTACCATTTTTTTCTGTTACATGAACTCAGATAAGAAAGATGATTTGCTGCCCAAGATTGTAGGACACAGCACCCCAGTACCCCAGCACCCCAGTTCTAGCTACGTCGTCATAATGTTAAGACATGGCATGCCATTTTTTGCACATGAACGATGTAGGTGTAGTGAGCATCATTCCACCAGTCGCCTCACCCTGCCCCTGAGGTGTTTCATAAGCTGTGGGAGGAGATTCGCCAGCGCTGTATTTGCACTTGGCTGGCGACACTTGTGCGGACCGGCGTGAGGTTTTGCTTGGAGCGGCCTTCGTGAATCCCCGTCAGCTCATTCACTTTGTCCTTGGCCTCGGTCTTGCTGATAAGTTTTGCATTTCATATCTATTTTCATAGGAATAAAAATACTTTTTCTTGTATGTAAGAAAGAGAAAAGAATCTGCCGTGAAGTGATACATTACTGAAGAAAACTGCGTCTATTTAATTTTGCTGTATTTGGCAGAAAAATATATTAATTCTATCTACTTTAGACGTTTAAAATTTTGTCTCAGGAAAATGTATTCATATAGTTCCCTTTTTAAAAAAAGATTGATTTATTGATGTATACAGAACTGGGGTACAGGCCAGAGGTGCAGGGGTGGTGAGAGGATTCACCAGAGACAGAGCGGGGAGCAGAACAGGCAGATAGATGAAGAACACTGCTGAGGGGAGCAGCGGGCAGATCAGGAGAGGTCTGCTGCGCCCTGAGGGTCACCTCCGGGGCGGGGATCAAACTCGCACTGATGTGGCTGCAGCTAACCTGAAGTGCTGCATCCTAACCCGCTGAGCCACCAGGGAGGGCCCATATAGTTCCCTTTTAATGGGAATGTGCACTGACTGTATGTGCAGACATTGTGGTACCTTGGTTAATTTTTCAGTGAAATGAATGGCTTTTTAAAAAAACGATTTATTTTTTAAAAAGATTTATTTATTTATGCATATAGAACTGGGGTACAGGCCAGAGTTGCAGAGGGTTGAGAGGATTCACCAGAGACAGAGTGGGAGCAGAGCAGGCAGAAGGACTGAAACACACTGCTGAGGGGAGCAGTGGGGGGGTCAGGAGAGGTCTGCCACACCCTGTGGGTCACTCCCTGGCCAGGGATTGAACTCGTGCTGCAGTGGCTGCGATCGCTTCATAGTGCCTTAACCTGCTGTGCCCAGGGAGGGCCTGGAGTGAATGGCTTTTAATGCTTTGTTTATGAACATATTTCAAGCAAGTCACATACAGTAGAAACCAAAAGCTTCCATAAAATTTTCTTGTCTTTAAATATTAAAACTAGTCAAATAATTTGTCTGTGATTTATTTTCCTTAGTGTAAGCTTGAGTGAACACACTGGTATTGAATGAGGTGACTGTGCTTTTTTACTCTTTTGGAAGAGACGTTTCAGTGCACAGAGTTGTCTGGCTTAAGGAAGAGGAGTGTTTGAAGCCTAATGTAATGATGAATATCTCAAATTTCTAAATCAGTTTTTCTTCAAGGAACCGCAGACAAAACACATCATGTTCTTTTCATGCTGTCTGATGACTTCTTAGTTTATCCTTTTTTATTTGGAAGTATTAAAACATAAAAAGATAAACGGAGACACTGTATAGACTTTTTCCTTGCTTGGCTTCCTACGTTCTCCTTAACAAAGTGAATATGATACTAATACGTTAGAATTAAATATTAATCTGCTCACAACACAGCAACAGTAGCTTTTAAGGCATCAAGAGAAAACAGAAAAAGCAATCTCATTGATGGCCACGCTGAAAACATCCACAGTATACCTGCAGTTGGGCCATGTTGCAGAGCTCGTAATCGGTTAACCGACTCTCCTTTCTGTTGCAGGCTAAATAAGTGATTATTAGTATTGATAATGATTCTACGTCACCTCAGCGTCTTTCAGTTAAAAAAAGATTAAGTTTCAAGTGTATGAGTAGGAAAATGAAAGAATTTACTTGGAACGATTTCGAGTATGTGTTGCCTACAATGGCAGTTTTGCGTGGATCCACGGTCTAACCAAGTCATAAGCAAATATGGTCCAGTAGACCATAGTAGTAGGCACAGTAGTTCTAGCACCAGCAGTGGTCATTATGACGTGTCAACAGTGAAATTCTCAGGGAAACCACAGGTGAATGTTGTACTTTAAATACCATGGGATCGTCTTTGCTTTTTAGCTCTGTTCTGAGATCACGCACTCCATGTAATCTTATGAGGTAGACACCAACTCCACAGAAAGCCGAGTTGTAAAAGAAGTAAACAACGTCCCCAAGTTAGCAAAAGACAGTACTTTTGTTCAGAATTTAGTCCCGTATCTCCAAGGCTTGTTCCTAATAATTAAATATGGAGTGTAGTTGTGAAATATATTACATGAGTATAAGTATATTTTATTTAAATGATGGTTTTTAATATATGGTCAATATTTAAGTGACTAGTTATGCTTATGAAATTCTGTGGGGATACTTTTAAAATTTTTTTGTGGATCTTCTAACAGATTTTGACAGTTACATAAATTATGATGCTACCAAACATGACGTTGACTCAATTAAGTAAAAGTTTGTCTGTGTGATGTGAACTTTAGACTCACATAAGCTTCTGTACAAGGTAAAATGAAACTCTGCTTGCATGGAGCGCGGTGCTGGTGGGGAACAAGCCACCATGCGTAGCTTCACGGGTGTCAAACGCTGACGCCTTTTGTTCGCCCCGTGACAGAAAGGGGAACCATGCCTGTAAGATATACCTTATGTAAATGATATCTGGTTGTGCTTCAAAGACCTGTTAAGGAAAATGCAACCCAAATGTAAATCCGCACACGCATTCACAAGAGCAAATAAGAAGAATCTGTGTTACTTTTTAAATATAAAACTAACATACAACTCGTGTTGTATGACTTTTTCATACAAGAAAAGTTAATCTCTTTTGTTCTGTTTATCAGATTCAAATGCTCTTCCCAAAGAATGGAGGAGAAAAACAAGTCATGATAGCTAAGTATTTGTTGGGCTTTAGTTTCTGGAAACTAGAAAAATAGAGAGTTAAATTTGCTACGTATTATAAGGGGAAAAATCAAAAGGATTCATCAGAATCCCCATTTAGTTCAGATATAAATGTTAAGGAACTAGACATTTGATGTTCTGTTCAATCTTTCCTTTGTGCTTGCTGAACTAACCTCTTTTTTAATGTAAAAATAGCAGTGGGGAAAGA